ATTACCATAATGCTCTTTTTATTAATTAAATCAACTGATACATAATATTACATATGAGACAAATAGTTTTACAATAACCCCTTATCGTTATGATCCACGTAATTAGTGGTAGGAAGAAATCAAACATATAGAGAATTACCACTAGACACTTAATTTTTAAGATTAACTACCATATTTAGATTAAACTTAAACCGTAACGGAAGCAAAGCTATTCGAGTGTGTTAGCCTGTTAGATACGCATTGATGATTGACTTGGATTTGGACAAAGAAGCTGAGTGTATATTAAGGTAGATTTTGAAAGCAAAATGGTTGGTAGAGAGAGACAGAGACAGAGAGAGACAGAGATAGAGAGAGCGAGAGAAATGAGTGAGTAAAATATATACTACTAGGAAACTTCCTGGTAGTTGAGTCTATTGGTAGGATTTGAAACATAGCGACTTTGAAGCGAAACCAATTAAGACCTTAGTTTCTCTCGTCACAGATAAGTTGATATTGACAACTGAAAATTTAGTGTTATTAATTCAAAATATGGACGAGAGAGACATACAGAATTTTTGTAACAGGGCATTAATTATATACGACTTTAAAAAGAAAATAAAAAGGAATGGGAGAAAGAATTTAACTTTATTTTTGGTTGGATTGCTATTTACACACAAAGGAAACTACTTATTACACGTCTACTTTTTCTCACATTGGTATCGTTATAAGAATAAGGGGAAAATATTTATTATTTTTAAAAGATGTAAAGTTATGTCATTTTAAGTGAGAGAAAGAGATAGATTATGAAGTAGAAAGAATGAACAAAAAAGAATAAAAATGTAGGTCTCATCTTTTTATGAGAGTAAAATGACACAAGTTATATCGTTTAGAAGGACAAATATTTTTTTCAAAAAATAATAGCATAGTTGTACAAAAAATAAAATAGGCCCAATTGTAATCAAATATAATGAGAACTGTTCTGGTCCGAGCTGCCAAAGTCTAATTAGAAGGATATAATTAATATGATGACAACACAAATACAGGGACATAAAAATCTAATATTGAAAATTTAAGTGGAAGGAGTAAAGTTTCACATTAGCTAGAAATTAATTAAGTGTGGAAAGATCTATAAACTTAATGCTTTAATATTTTGAGTTAAGGTGTAATGTAAAGTTTTTGGAAAAAATTGTGTATCATTTTAAAGGATGTAAAGTTGTGTCATTTTAAGTGAGAGAAAGACATAGAAAAATGAAGAGAAAGTGGACAAAAAAATATAAATGTGTGGGTCTCATCTCTTTGTGAGAGTGAAATGATATAAGTTGTGTCATTTAAAACGATAAATACTTTTTCTAAAGTTTTTTTTATCATAATAGATTTATGCTTAGCCCAACATTTAACATAGTTTGGTAACTTAGAAAAATCAGTACAAGAATAATTATTGAGTTAAAAAACTTAACTGTGCTATGCCCACCCTCTCTCATAACCTCAAGAATCCAATATTTGCTACGTATTCTCTCTATCTCAATATATACCAACATTATTGGTTCTATATTTATAACAATTTTTCTTAGTCTCCAAGCAAGCCTCCATAGTTTGCTATAGACTCCTTATTACTAAGGGTGTGTATGACAACCTTCTCGAATTTTTTTTTTTTTTTTTTAATTTCTGTTCCCGGGAACAGAAATGGAAAGAAAACTCGTTTGATAAAACCGGTTTATTTTTTTGTTCTTGGGATGAACCGATTCAATTTTTGTGCTGGGAAACAAAAAAAAAATAAAAAAAATTCTGCTTTTTTGTTCCCGGACACAAAATGAGAAACACTTATTTCTCTCAATCACTCTCTACCACTATCATCATCATCACCACCACCATCATCCCGACACGACCACCGTCGCAGTCGCCGTTGTACCACCAATGTCGTCGTCACAACCACTACCACAACGATGTCACTGCCACCACCACCACCACCACCACCACAACGTCATCGCCAAAGAACAGAATGGTTGTCATGCACGCCCTAAATTTTCTAAATCCAAACAAATTTATCTCGTATACTTAATTTAGTTTTTTTAAATTTCCAAGAATACACTTCCTAAGGATAAATACATATTAAACAAAATCAATCCTTATCTTATCAAGATACATGAGCCAAAATTGCACCCTACTGAATGTCCCACCGCTTTGAAATTTGTTAATAGCTTCACCTTTATTAACATGTATAATGGTGTCAATCTACATAAATATTGTTGAGTCTCTGCAAAAAGACTCTAGATATCATTGGGTCAACATACTTTTAGTTAAATTAGCAAGATTTTAGCACATTAATATCTATCAGATAATACACTTTGTTAAAAATTGTTGATGGGTTTTCACTATGTTATTTTAGTTGATTAAGAGCCCAAAACTCCAAATCCAAAACCAACCTGTATGACAAAGGAAAAGAGGGCAGATAGTAGACTTAGTTCAACAACTGCATTGAAGGGGAAAAATAGGAAGAGCAAAAAAGGGTGAGGGCAGAAGCGGGAAAGCAAAAAAAAAATAAAAATAGGTAACCTGTTGAAGGTTACCCTTTTGTCATCGGAATCAATCATCAAAGAAACTGGATGTTTAGTAGGAGAGTTTTTTTTGGGTGCCTAGGAAAGTAAAGATGGGTTTTCTAGTTGACCATGTTTGGTAAGAGGTTTTAAAAAATTTGCCTATCATTCGAATTTGCATAACAATCTCAGTTTGTGTATAAAATTGAAAAATTTTGCCATTTTAGAATACCACATATAGGGTTGTATTCTCGTTACCCCATCAACCCAAAAAGTAAGAAAAAAGCAATGGACACAAATATCTTTTCTCAAAAAACGTGCCAAAAGAAAGATGAAGAGAGAGAAAGTCTTCTTTGTATTTTGTCAATGGTTAGTTTGGTTATTTCATTCAATTTTTCATCAATATTTTACCTTCAACAAAACATAGACTCAGGAAATTTAACCAAATTTTTCCGGTAATATTTCGGCCTACCAAACAATTTTTTTTAACTTTCCTACCAAACTTACTTTCTACCATATTCCTAGTAATTGTATTTCCTTGGTAAAAAAATTTCTCCTCTCCCAAACGCCCCCTAAGTCCTTTCCTTCCCATCATTTTTCTCTCTCTGAGTACTTCAATCCATATCCAAGTAACATTATTTTCAAATTTTGCAAACCCACAAACATATTGTTCCTTTTACCTTCTTCCAAAAATCACCAAAACCCACTCTCTTAGCCAACCCACAACCCCACACAAAAATCAGCAAAAATGTCCCAAATGTCATTGTGAAGGACAAGGTTCGTGCGGAGAGTGTATCTCGGGTGCTGATTGTGGTGGTCTAGGTGCGAGGAAAGATCGAGCAATTCTTGGAGAGGAGGTACACATGGAAGTTGATCCAATGACTCACGGTACTGCTGCATGAAAGGAAGGAGAGATATAAAAGTGGATTTAGAGGTAAAGTTGGGGGGTCTTCTTCTTCGATTTTTAGGAGGGTATCATTTGTTTTGTTTGTTTTCTTCGAAACATTTTTCTTCTTTATTTAGAAGGTAAGCACAACATAGTGTGTTAAATTTTATTTTATAATTTTCTGCAACTTTTATTTTACTATTTTGAAGCTCAACCCTGATGGGTATGAGCTACTTTATTTAAGTTGGGTTTTGATAGTACCCAACCCTGAAGATGTTAATGCAATGAATGTTTTTCAGTTATTTCTATAATTTCCAGATTGTCTGAGGATAATATTGATTTCTAGAGTTGTTGTATTTTGGCCATATACATGTAACCTTAGAGAGCAAATTTATTGAGAAACAAGATACTCGGACTTAACCTTAGACACTCAGCTTGAGTGAGACATCACTCATAAGTTTCTTCTTCAGACATGAAGAGAATTGCCTAGTAACTATATACCTGTACTCAATGGATCTTTTTTCTCTGACTTCCAGAGACATATGGTAAGGCTATAGTTAAAAATAAATACCTCTTGAGACATCAAGAGGTTACAATTATAGTATGTTGATTTGGTTTAGCTATAGAGCTATTGGGAATATTCATTTCTATAGCACTTTGGGGGAGAAGAATTTAAAATCCAACTTGTTCTCTTTAATATTTTTTTTATCAACATCTGTTCTTGTTTCACCTATTTAAACAACATTTTCCATTCTATGCTTTAGGCGTTATTAAAAAAGAAATCAAGTTTGAAAGAAAACCAACACTTTAATTAAGTTCATTAGCTCATTTTCTCTACATTAATTTAATTCTCTTTCCAACAAGAAAAACTTTTCAAAAACATTGTCACTCCCAGTTAGATTACATTAGCAATTTGTGTTCAATTTTATTTTTTTATTTTAGTTTTTGATTTGAGCAATTACAAATTCTGTTAAAAGTACAAATGCCATGATCCTTGTGGGACGATATTAGGGTCTTAAATACCCCAATTATTACTTGTTGTCGTGCACGTTTGCACGCCATACTTGCATAATTGTTAGCAAGGCAACAAGTTTTTGGCGCCATAGTTGAGGATCCAAGGCGTAAATTACCAGATCTAAGAGAAATAACAATGAGCAGTGTCAAATGATAGAGTTGAGGAATGGTAGGTTAATTAATCAACTTGAAGTTGTAATCATACCTTCAAGGCTGAAAAAGATGGCAGAGGCAGCATTGTAACAAGAAAAGGAAAGGGAGCTATAAGATCAAGAGGGAGTTGCATCAACAAGTTCTCAGCTAGCAAACAACAAGGAGATAGCAGCTGATTTTACCTAACCTATTCTGGTTGAACCTGAAATTCAGGTTCAATTAGACAAGAATTTAGAGACTAGTCCGAGAGAAAAGGCTGCATCAAGTAGCCATCCCTCTCAGCCCACTGTTGTGACTCCCAATGTCTCTAACAGACCTCCTCCACCTTTTTCCTAAAGGCTTCAAAAACAGAAGTAGATACTCAGTTTATGAAGTTTTTGGACCGCCTAAAACAGCTCCATAATAATATTCTTTTTCTAGAGGCATTAGAACACATGCCTACTTTTGTGAAATTTATGAAAGAAATCCTCTCTAGAAAAAGGAGACTTGAGGAATTTGAAACTGTTGCTCTTACTCAAGATAGCATTAAATACATGTTAAGCAAGTTACCTCCTAAATTAGAGGATCCAGGGAGTTTTGCAATTCCCTGCACCATAGGTGATCATTATCAAGGTAGAGCATTGTGTGACTTAGGAGCTAGTATTCATTTAATGCCAAGGAGTGTGTTTAAGAAGCTTAGGGTAAGAGAAGCTAGCCCTACAACTGTAACTCTACAGTTGACTAGTAGATCCTTAGCATACCCTGTAGGAAAAATATAAGATGTTTTAGTCAAGGTTGATAAATTTATTCTACATGCTAATTTCATCATTTTAGATTATGAAGAGGATAGGGAAGTGCCTATAATTTTAGGTAGAGCCTTTTTAGTCACTAGAAGAGCTATAATAGATGTGAAAGAGGGTGAGTTGTCTATGAATGTAAATGGGGAACAAGTGAGGTTTAATGTTTTAAAAGCCATGAAGTACCCAAGCGAAGTGCCTATAAATACTGTTGAGACTTTGCAAAGAGACTCTAGATATCATTAGGTCAACATACTTTTAGTTAAATTAGCAAGATTTTAGCACATTAATATCTATCGGATAGCACACTTTGTTAAAAAGTTGATAATGGGCTTTTCACTGTGTTATTTTAGTTGATTAAGAGCCCAAGACTCCAAATCCAAAAGTAACCCATATGACAAAGGAAAAGAGAGCAGACAGCAAACTCAGTTCAACAACTGCATTGAAGGGAAAATAGGAAAAACAAAAAAGGGTGAGGGCAGAAGTGGGAAAGTAAAAAAACCACTCCCCGTTAAACTCGACTAGCAAGTGGGGAGTGGAGGTAATCCTTGTACGCAGCCGTACCCTTACATGATTACAAAGAGGTTGTTTCCTGGATTCGAACCCATGACCTTTCAGTCATGAAAGAACAACTTTATCACTGCTCCAGTTCGCCCCGTAGAAGTGGGAAAGCAAAAAAAAAATATATTAACCTGTCAAAGGTTACCCTTTTGTCATCAAAATCAAACATCAAAGAAACCCTAAGTCCTTTCCTTCCTATCATTTTTCTCTCTGAGTATTTCAATCCATATCCCAATCCATTTCCAAGCAATATTATTTCCAAATTTAGCAAACCCACAAACCTATTGTTCCTTTTACCTCTTCCAAAACCCACTCTCTTAACCAACCCACAACCTCACACAGAAAATAAAATAAAAAATTTAAAAGAAGAAGATAAATCCTAATTGTCATTGTTAAGGACATGGTTTGTGCAAATAGTGTATTTCGGGTGCTGAGTATGGTGGTCTAGGTGCGAGGAAAGATCGAGCAATATTTGGAGATGAGGTGCATGTGGAAGCTGATCGAATGGCTCGCGATACTACTGCAAGAAAGGAAGGAGAGATATAAAAGAGGATTTAGAGATAAATTTTGGGGGTCTTCTTCTTTGATTTTTATGAGGGTATCATTTATTTTGTTTGTGTTCTTCGAAACATTTTTCTTCTATGTTTAGTAGGCTGTAAGCACAACCCACCTTGTGGTTAGGTGTGTGTGAAGATTATAGTGTGTTAAATTTTATTTATAATTTTCTACATCTTTTATTTTATTGTTTTGAAGTTCAACCCTTATGGGTATAAGCTACTTTATTTAAGGTTGGGTTTTTATTGTACCCAACCCTGAAGATGTTAATGCAGTGAATGTTTTTTAGTTATTTTTGTAATTTCCATATTGTCTGATGATGATATTGATTTCTAGAGTTGTTGTATTTTGGCCATATACATGTAACCTTAGAAAGGACATTTGTTGAGAAACAAGTTACTCAGACGTAACCTTAGACACTGGGCTTGAGTGAGACATCACTCATAAGTTTCTTCTTCAGACATAAATAGAACTGCCCAGCAACTATATACCTGTATTTAATGGATTTTTTTTTCGCTGACTTTCATAAACATATGGTAAGGCTTGAGTTAAAGATAAATATCTCTTGAGACATCAAGAGGTGACGATTACAGTATGTTGATTTGATTTAGCTGTTCAACTATTGGGAATATTCATTGCTATAACACTTAGAGGGAGGAAAATTTAAAATCCAGCCTGTTCTCTTTAATATTTTTTATCAACATTTGTTCTTGTTTCACCTATTTAAATAGTTTTTTCCATTCTATGCTTTAGACCTTATTAAACAAAGAAATCAAGTTTGAAAGACAACCAACACTTTAGTTAAGTTTATTAGCTCATTTTCTCTACATTAATTTAATTTTCTTCCTAACAAGAATATATTTTCAAAAACATTGTCACTCACAGTTAGATTAAATTAGCAATTTGTGTTTAATTTTATTTTTTTTATTTCAATTTTTGATTTGAACAATTACAAATTTTGTTCAAAGTACAAACACCATGATCCCTGTGGGATGATATTAGGGTCTTAAATACCCCAATTATTACTTTGTTGTCGTGTACGCTTGCATGTCATACTTGCGTAACTGTTAGTAAGGCAATAAATACCATGAAGAACCATCAAAACCAAAATTTATTATCATTGCCTTTGTCTATGTGCTTATAATACCCTAACTTAAGCATTTAATTAATTACCTTTAATTAAGTAATTGAGCAGGTATAAGTGGGTAGAAATTTAGTGAGAGGCTAAAATTAATGAATTAAAGGCACTTTTGAGGTAAAAAGTGCAGTCAGTGAGAATTAAAGGATAAAAATGTGGTAGATAAAAGTACCCAAAATATAAAAGTAAAGTTAAAAATATTGCTAGAAAAATATTCTAGACCATTTGGTAAAGTTTGGAAGAGAACGGAGTTAAATAGATAGATGAGCTTATACCCGGTGATAGTAACTTAACCATGTTAAGTGTTAAAAAAAAATAACAAAGCCCCACATTCTTCCTTCTTCTTCGACGCAATAAGAGAGAAAGGGAGAGGAAGAGAGAGAGACTCCATGGTTGAAGCTCCATGAACTCTAGCTCCCTCATTCCTCCACCAAATTGATCTGTTTCAAAGCCTAAAGTGTGTCAAATTTCATCCTCTACAAAACCCATAGCTTGGTTCTTGATGGGGGGTCATTGTATTGAGAGATATATCCCCCTCTCCATTTCGAAAATTTGAGAAAGTTTGGAGTTTTGAGTGCGTTGGAGCTTAGGCTTTTCTTCCTCTTGCATTCTAAGGTCATCCATGGTAAGTTTTCACCCTTTTTCACACTTTTCCTTGAACTTTCATGAATCTAGGTTTTGGGTGAATAGTGTCCACGAAATTCATCTATGTTGGGATGGATTTTGATGTGTTGGTATGTTGTTTTATGTGTAGTTATGAGCAAGGTGACCTTGGGTAAAGGAAAATTCATTGGAGGAGCCATTGGAGCAAAAACCTAGTTTTGGGTTGAAAGAGTAAGTTGAGTTAATGTTGAAATTATGAGAAATGTAGAATAGTTTAGATGTTTGTCTAGTCTTGGACTTAGTATTTATGTGTGGATTTAGTTGATGAACACATCTCTTGCCTTGACTATAGTTTGTCTTGGTGTTGATTGGAGATTGTGTGGTTTTGAGGAAAGGAAAGCTTTAAGGAAAGTGCAAGAGCAAGGTAAACCTTTGGACCTTGGGGTTGATCCCCTTGAATGTTCCACCATACTCCGTTGAGGAGAAATGGTGTATGAGATGTGATATGTAATGATGATAGTAATTGTATGCTCATGCATTGATAAATGTTATGATTGATTAATGATTATTAATTGATGTTTGATTGTTTAAGAGTAATTGAGGAATGGTTAATAGAGGTAGAAATAATGAATGAGGTAATGGTTGAGGACTGTGATTGAGGTTATGATTGATAGTATTATGATGAGGATGATTGGTAGGAACTTCCCTTGGAAACAGCCATATGTGGATCTCTCTTGGAGGTTCCTAGATTTAGGTAAGGACTTCCCTTGGAAACAGCCCTATGTGGATCTCCATGTGGTACGAGCCTAAGGGAAACAGCCATTCGTGGATCTCTCTTGGAAGTCCATGTAGTGTTTATGGATAAGAATGTGTTAAGCTATTATGATTATATGTACATCGGAAGTGAAACTTAGGGTGGAGTGATCTCCAAGGACCCTAGGTTTACTGTGATATATTCGTATATCTCACGCCGTGTGGTGGGGCATCATTTCAGGTGCTGATAGAGGTGAGGTTGAGCGAGGCAAGAAGCATGAGTAGATTGTACCTGATAGCTGGACATTTTGCGTTGCATGTAATTTAGAATTGTTATATGTATATTTTGATGTCGCATGATGCATTTTGGAGGACTTAGTGCATGATCATTATAGTAGCAATTGGTATTTGGTACATGGTTAATTGCTTTGATCATGTTCCTTTTGTAGCTAAGTCCTTTGGCATGTATATGAAATTTGTAAGAACAATGATGTAATTGAGAACTTGATGGATTGATGAATATGTAGTTATGTTTATCATTTGAATTACATGATGAATTGGTAAAGTGTTTACGGAATGTAGGTGTCACATGGTGTGTGACCATGGTTGGCCTTTTATTGTCAATTAGGTGTTATGACCTTTGAAGATTGAAAGGGGATTGAAATTTCCCCAAGAAACTCACCAAAAACAAAGGAGACCAAGTCTGCCCCGGGTGTAGGGCGCTCAAGCGTTGATTCGGGCGCTCAAGCGCTGATTCGGGCGCTCAAGCACTCTATATGCGTGAAAATAAGTGAAATCCCCTGTTTCTTGGCGCTCAATCGCTGATTTGGGCGCTCAAGCGCGCAGGTACACACCCAAGCGTGCTGAAAAATATGACGATGATAAAATTTCTTCACTGTGGGCGCTCGAGCGCCCATTTGAGTGCTCGGGCGCGCATCCCGAAAATAGCCCATCATAGTTTACTAAAATTGACATAACTCAAGCTACAGATCTTCGATTTGAGCACGGTTTGAACCCACGCATAGCTAACTGAGGGATCTATAACAAAGTGTGAGATGAGAACTATAAAGTAAGTACAGAAATTCCAATTTAATAAAAAGTGAAGAGAGTTTAGTATTGAACTCGAACAAAATAATAATATGATGTTAAGTCTAGTTTTGATTATTCCACAAGGTAATAAGGTTATGTTCACGCAATTGGTTATTTTAAACTCGGCATTGTTAAAGAGGAAAAGCAAGTAAGTTTTGAAAAGAAAATGAAAATTTATCCGGGTTTTTTATTGAAGCAATGTGATTGTAACTGCGCTTAATATCATATTTGATGATAACACACCGGTCCGGTAACGGGGTGTTACAGTGCTAGCTACACAAAGCTCGAATCAACCAAAATTGACAGGGTTGCACCTCATTCAAGTATCTACTGAATATGTTCTTGGTAACAAAAGTCTTTTACCAAGAGCATGATACAAATAGAGAAAGAAGCTGTCGGAAACTTACTAAACGAAAAGTAGTAAAACAAACTTAATCAAGTGTTAAATAGGTTGGCATATAGTTTATCTTAAAATACAGTGAAAGAAAACTGTGGGGCGTTTGGTAGAGGAGAAATTTGTTTTTTACCAGAAAAAAATAATTTCCGGGAATGTGATGGCAAAATCTTTTTCCCAGGTAAGTTACTAAAAGGTGTTTGGTAGGCAAAAAATTTTTCAAGAATGTTTGGTTAATTTTACTAATATTGCGTGTTAAATTTTTCACCACATGAAAAAAAAAAATTTCCACCCCATCAATGGTAATCTTCTATAACCATTTATATGGAAAAACAAGTGATGGGAAAAGTTTCTCCCAGCCATACTTTTACTTCACCTTCTATCAATCATAAGCAAATAATTTTCCCCACCCTCATTTTTGTGGGAAATTTTTTTTTTCACCTCCTACCAAAACACCCCCTCATGTAGTATTGTGAAAGAATATACTTGTTATTTCCTATGTTCTAGTTAATCTTGTTTAACAATTTTTCCTATATTTATTTATTTAATTAATTATTAATTCTCTTTTATTTATTTTTATTTTTTTTGTTAAATATTTTTTTTTCTTTTTATTTGAACTCATTAATTTTCAATCCAACTAGTTAGCGTTAAAAGTAATATTAATATCAAAATTAAAATTAGATGGGGAGAGAACCTGGCTTCAGTTTTCACCAAATATATCTCAGAGGCAGCGAAAAGTTTTAATTGTGATTACATTCTAACTTGATATTAATTTCATAACTGATTCAAATAGTTGAAGTTGTGGAATACCTGACTCGCCTCAAAAAAACAATTAAGGTTGATATAAAAAAAAATTGAAGAAAATATATTTGATTATTAAGATGGGTTCGCTTTTTCTGCATTCACTGCAGATAAATTATCTGCAGTAAGTCCAATACGACGTCGTTTTAGACGAAAATCATGGTGTTTTTATAATTTTAATTTATTTGAAGATTATTATAGTCTTTATAATTA